TTTGGCCATCCTTTCTTCTTTCTCTTCTTACCGCGGAGTTTTGCATAGATCGATGGATGGTAATCATTTTTTCAGCACTACCATCGAACTGTCTTCAGAGCCAGTGGTTGGTCTTGATCAGTTCAATCGATTCATTTGTTGTTTGAGGAGTTGTTCCTCGGTGTTCTTAGGGAGAACGAGGCGTCGGAACTTCGATAGCCTGTTGTTCGATACTTCTTTGCTGGGATGGCTGCAGGCGCAGCTACTGGATTTACTTTCTGCCTCATCTTGGTGGGGGTCTTTAAAGATTCCTTTTTCATTTACCATTTCACTTTGGTGTTTCGTGGTTAAGTTCTTTTGTTTGATTTGTTCTTAGTGAATTCGTTGAAGTACTTTTCTTAGGGGGGCATCGGGTTTTATTGCAGGCATTAGGTTCTTTCACTACTAAAGAAGGTAAATTTGTGTTTTAGTAACTTGCTCCACGTATGTAATATTTCCTTTATTTCAGGACACACAATTTTTTTTTGGTCATCAGGTGATAGCTGATCTTTCTGTCTGGCGCTTGTTCTTTTAAATTGTTGGTATTGCTGCCACTCCGCTTATACATACGGGCAGTCTCTTGACCTCCTGAATGTTCCACTGCAAATAACGCATTTGATAGGATCAGGCTGGATCATCACTATGAAATGGCTTACCACAATGACATACTTTTGATTCTCGCACAATCTAGATGCTGGTGTCCAAATCGTAAACATTGGAAACACTTGCATGGGTTTGAGAGGAATGAACATTCGCACGGTTAGACGATGGAATGCCTGCTTAATCTTCTCTAGGTAACGTACAACGCTTAAACGTCAGGACATGGGACGCTGAAGGAATTATCTGTCCATCCCGCTCATTGTTAGCCACGACCATGCAATGACTCCTTTGAAGAAGGCTGTTCTTGAACTATTTCCTCTTCACTTGCAGTAGTAAGTCACTGCAAACTACAAACACCCTTTGCAGGTATTCAGTGTGCCGTGATGAAGCCACTTACTTTCAACATATATAGTGCATTTTCTTCAATTCTAGCAATTTTTTACCCTTGATGTCATTAAACTGTTTCTACCAAGAGTCCAGATGAATTTTCTGTATGTCCTTTACGGCAAATCCAGCGCACAGGTGCTAATACTCCTCTCGATTATAAACGGGCCTACTTTATCAATATTTTCCTTCAGTTTCTTTTTACTGTAAGGCGTACGTTGGTACTGCGCGGTTATCTTGAAACAGTCATCATGTTTGTTGATTTTCCAAAAAAACTTCATCTTTGGCATGAACCTCCGGGCTTTTTCTGGACGAGCCGTTTAAGGGTTCCCTCAACCCTAGCGTTCGCAGACTTCCATACGAGTCCCTGCGAAGCTTGCTATCACTCGTAGCACTATTTGCCATGCTGCCGAGATCCGCACCCCTGGCATTTGCAGTCGCTGGGTTGACGAACGCCCGGTGGCGGCTTGCGCACCATCGACCCGCCGTACTGGGGCTCGGGTCCATGCATCGTATCATCGCAGTGACAGATCTCCATCTTGGTTTTTCTTCAGGGTCACCTTCCCCTAGCGTTCTTTGAGCCCCCCAGCTAAGGCAATACGAAGAAGAGAACTGGTTAAAAGGGGGAAAACGAGAAGACCAGAGTTAGAATAGAAGGGTTAGAATGGAAACGACTCCCTAGCCTCGCAACCTAAAGCGGGCGGAAACAGAGGAGTTGGCCGAACTAAGATTTGTGCGTAACAGGAACAGAAAAACAGTGTGTGTGCCACAAGTAAGTGGAACAATGACACACCACAAGATGTTGGGAATGACGGATGTTTTAGGGGGACAGCGGACAGCTGCTCCGCGATTTGTCGCCTTCTAGCGAAGGGGGAGGGTCCCATGGTGCATCTACTAAAAACCCCGACACGCTACATTCGGAGAATTAAACCTATTGATTATTATATTTATTATTATTATTTATTATATATTATTATTAACTTGATTGGCCGCATTGGACCCTTGGGTCGTTCCCACTTTCAACTTTTTTTTATTTTCCATGGTCGACTGCGAAGGTATCACCGTTGAAGTGAGGAAATCCTCGAGTTACAATTCTGAATGTATTCAGAAAGGGTGATAATGGGAGATGGGGATGAGGAGTTATAGGATAGAGAGTAGAGAAAACAATCAACCCAAAGGACTGTATAGTGGGACCGAACACACAGTCTTACAGAAATCGAACCAAGCACGCGTACTGACACCATCTTTTCGTACGTAGTTTGCACTATAGCAGGCAGTAACTCGGTCTTCATGTAGCTTGATTATATATCTCGCCGACACGGCTCGAGATATTACCGGAGCAATAATGAATGATTTTGTAGTAATAATAACAACACAAACAACAGACAACAACGAACAGCGCGATATTACTGTTATAACTAACATTTACACTCGTAAAAATGTAATTAATTATTGAGTACATTACAATACAATCTTATAATGATAAGCAATCGAGTTAAATATGCCTGGATGGAGGACGTAAGTGAACTACTTGACTGTTCAGGACAACAAGGGCTCTAGCTCAATTTTGCCAAAGGAGCAGAGAAAACGACATTAACGTGGATCGAGATGTTGGTACTCTGGGCCTAGAATTACTCATATAACCTTAGTGTTACAAAGTCAGATTAAGATATTAATACTAGTAGATTATAGTATCTGCTATATAATGGAGACAATGTCTCAATATGTTATTCTAATGACTACTAATTTTAATCAATACATTAATAAATACATATGAATTATGTTTGCAATAGCAATCAAATTTGTAACAAATAGTATAACATTCTATATTTATAACTTGAAAATGGGCAAAGAAGGAGTCTAAGTTATTATGAACGGCAAGTGTTTATCTTCTATTGACGTCATTTCTGATTTCACACAGGGATGTGTATTGCAGTTCTTACCTGGTTCTGTATGTTACATTGGATCGCTTCATGAGATTATTCAGATAAGTCACGTTACATGGATGATAACGACCAAATTTGTATAACGATAGAGAATATTATATCTCTGATTTAAAGATATATTGATCGTGAATGATTATAATATAGTGAAATATTTCTTTACACTTGGGATGTTAACGGTAAGATTGTGATATCAGCAGGGAAGCTTCAATTTACTTGTAAATTGTATGAATTGTGTTTTATGCTTTGGATATCATGTCCTGGTTGTTGGTGTGGTAAGTGTTTAATGCCTCTTCTTATTATGGGTTGTTTTTTATAAAATGTAGTTTCACGAGTGGGAATGTTAAGTTATCACTTTTGGACAGGGGATGTAGTTAATACATTAATCTTAGAATAAAATTAATAAAGAAGCAAAGAGTAGTCTATTGTATTTCACATGAGAATTTCTTTGATGGAAGACCAACTGTTTCAAAGATATTAATGCAATGGTAGTGGAAGAATCCTTAGTTATTAAAAACAAGGGTTTGCAAGACTCCAGCTTATGAGTGCTGGTCATTCGGGAGTATTTTCGTCAGTATTTTTCGTATGATAGTAAATGTGCGAGTGTTCAGGAGACTTTCCAAAAAATTCCAGAATTCATCATTCATATTCCAATGCTTCTTCAGAATTGTGGTGTCATATGATTGCATGCTGTTGGTATTTCACATTACTAGGGACAGTAATTTAAGATTGTGAGAAATTGGGAACGTTGATCACGTCGGTTAAAATTTATGGTTCTGTCGAATAATGAGGATGTTAGTTGCTAAACCAAATATCTAGCTGAGCAAACCGAGATAAGTCTCACGCTTTTATGAATCAGTATCTTTCACAGTAAATGTCATATAATCATTTGGCGATGCTTACCTTGGCAATGGACAGGAGACATCTACGGGTACTGAAGTTGGTGGGAGTATGGAATGTGATTTAATAATGAATAGTGATAAGAGAACATAAAATATTCTGCAATGAAAAGTGTGAATTTTATTGAGAAAAAAGAGATAAAAACATTGAATGTTTTTTTGTAGATCTGAAGACTTATTTCATAGAAGCCGGAAAGACTGACCTACTGAGACACCGCTGAATTAAATTCTTCTCTGCCCAGTTGTTGTAACAAGCTCCCACTGATTCAACCACTGCTGCCTACGTCCCGAAAACGTGTGCAATCTTGCATCACTGGTGCTGGGCCTAAAGCACATTCTCATTATTTGCAGCTTGTCACTGCTAGTGCGACTTCTCACTAACCATGCAAATCGTATGAGGCCATGCTCATTACCTAGTGATCTTGATTCAAGATAATGATGATGATACTGGAAAGCTGCAATGGCAGACGACAGAGTTCTTTTAGTAAAAGTCCTACATCATTAGTGACGTTGTGGTCAAAGTTTTCACCAAGAGGAAAATGCGTTATCAAAGAAACTAAGTTCAAAACAAACAACAGGTAAAAAATTGTGTGTATTATGCTCTTCCCTTTTGCCTCGTCCCTTTTTTCTTCACATCCCAGTCACCATGGGCATTCGACATTCGTTAATTCATAAATTAGAAGAGTTGAACAATTTTCTTAGTTAATTTTTTCCCTGTGCTGATTATGTTGCCCTTTTCAGTTATTTTTTTGTATGATTTTTGTTGCTAAAATCTTAAATTATGTTACTTGTGTTTTGTAATTGTTTTCTTTACACTTTTAAAGTAGCTTATTAATTTATGCTCTTTTATCTTTGTGTTTGCATTGTGAGGGGGATTTGCTCCCACCTGTCTTGCATCACAGGGAAGCCTGCCCTCTCCTCCCCTCTCTCCCCCCTCTCCCCCTCTCTTTCCCCCTCTCTTCTCCCCTCTCTCTCCCCCTCTCTCCCCCTCTCTCCCCCCCTCCCTCCTCTCCCCCTCCCTCTCCCTCCCTCCCTCTCTCTCCCTCTCCTCCTCTCTCTTCCCCCTCCCTCTCTCCCTCCTCCCTCTCTCCCTCCCTCTCCTCTTCCCTCCCTCCCTCTCTCCCTCCTCCCTCTCTCCCTCTCCTCTCTCCCCCTCTCTCCCCCTCTCTCGCTCTCCTCTCTCTCTCGCTCTCCTCTCTTCTCTCGCTCTCCTCTCTCTCTCTCGCTCTCCTCTCTCTCGCTCTCCTCTCTCTCGCTCTCCTGCTCTCTCGCTCTCTCCTTCTCTCTCCGCTCTCCTCTCTCCTCTCTCGCTCTCCTCTCTCTCTCTCCTCTCCTCTCTCTCTCTCGCTCTCCTCTCTCTCGCTCCTCTCTCCTCTCTCGCTCTCTCTCTTCTCTCTCTCTCGCGCTCCTCCTTCTCTCTCTCGGCTCTCCTCTCCTTACTCTTTTTTTTTTTTCGCTCTCCTCTCTCTCTCTCGCTCTCCTCTCTCTCTCTCGCTCTCGCTCTCTCTCTCTCCTCTCTCTCTCGCTCTCCTCTCCTCTCTCTCTCTCGCTCTCCTCTTCTCTCTCTCGCTCTCCTCTCCTCTCGCTCTCCTCTCTCTCTCGCTCTCCTCTCTCTCTTCGTTCCTCTCTCCTCTCTCGCTCTCCTTCTCTCTCTCCGCCTCTCCTCTCTCTCTCTCGCTCTCTCTCGCTCTCCTCTCTCTCTCTCGCCTCTCCTCTCTCTCGCTCTCCCTCTCTTCTCCTCTCCTCTCTCTCTCGCCTCTCCTCTCTCTCTCTTCGCTCTTCCTCTCTCTCTCTCGCTCTCCTCTCTCTCTCTCGCTCTCCTCTCTCTCTCTCGCTCTCCTCTCTCTCTCTCGCTTCTCCTCTCTCTCTCCGTTTCTCCTCTCTCTCTCTCGCTCTCCTCTCGCTCTCCTCTCTCTCGCTCTCCTCTCTCTCTCCGCTCTCTCTCTCTCTCTCTCGCTCTCCTCTCTCTCTCGCTCTCCTCTCTCTCTCGCTTCTCCTCTCTCTCTCGCTCTCCTCTCTCTCTCGCTCTCCTCTCTCTCTCCGCTCTCCTCTCTGCTCTCGCTCTCCTCTCTCTCTCGCTCTCCTCTCTCTCTCGCTCTCCTCTCTCTCGCTCTCGTCTCGCCCCCCTTTCTCTCTCTCGCTCTCCCCCTCTCCCTCTACTCTCCCCCTCGCCGCTCTCTCTCTCGCTCTCGCGCTCCTCTCGCTCTCGCGCTCTCTCTCCTCTGCGCGCTCTCTCTCGCTCTCGCGCTCTCTCTCGCTCTCGCGCTCTCTCTCGCATCTCGCGCTCTCTTCGCTCTCGCGCTCTCTCCCTCTCTTCTCTCTCTCTCTCTCTCTCTCTCCTTTTTCTCCCTCGATGTCCGCGGAACAGTTGATTCTGGTGTAATTTATTTGATGCCTTCTCCATTACACTCTTAAAAATACATTAGGATTGTAAAGATGTTTTGCATAACATGAAGGTAGTACATGTAAATACATTTCACTTTGCAAAATATTACAGAAATATATTGTTAACTGCATTATACGAAATCTTAATCATTCCTTATTATTTTATACTGAAACACCACTATAAAATAGTTTTTCTGGAGTATACACAAAAAATATTTGTTGGAGAAACACCAATAAATTAGAATGATTGGACAATACTAATCAATCAACATCAAAATCAGACCCAAGAAATACTTCAAAATCCAACTTTTCAAATTTAAAAAAACGTTCCAATGTTATTGAGTAATAAAGGTGCTTTTGTTTTGCTATTGTTCTTGACTCATACTTGTACATACCTAATGTGTTACACATTCTTAACATGGTAAAATTCCAGTGCACTACAAACTTAAAACATTTATTTTGAGATTTCCCATACTGCTATTTGATAAGCAGCCTCTGCATGTTTGGCAGTGTATGTAGTTAATAATATTTACTTTTGACTTTGTTTTGTAGAATGAACAGAAACCTCTAGGCTTGAAAGGTGTAAGACATTCTTCTCCTCCCATGCGAAGATCAGAATCAAGAAGTATTGATGCTGGTTATCGTCAGGTGAATTACATCTTTCTTATATCCTTTCCTTGGAATTAAAACTATGTGAGTTTGATAAAAACCTGAAAAAAGTTAAGCAATGTGAAAGCTATTACACACATTTCTATAAATTGGAGCAGGCAGTATTTCTACTATTTCTTAATTGTTGATAACTATTATTGAGGCTTGATGAATTTGAACTTGTAGAATTACAATTCCTTCCCTTGTTGGAAGCATCTCACAAAAATATTAGCTTTAACCTTGCTTCAAAATATCACATGCATTGTTATGATGCGGCATTCGCATGAGAAATATATTGGAAGTAACAAATTGCTAATTTTTTAACCCCAACATATTTCTCGGATTGTACTTTTTAATATAAGCAACAAAAGGTGTAACTTTTTTGGTATTATTATTTCCAATTTTTTACATTAAGTATATAAATTAATTTATTATTTAATATATTAAATTATAATTTCTCAGTAATGGGTAATAGATTGCAAAAAAAGATTGTTTGTTTTCAACCAAAATTAAAATGACAGTCTAAAGGTTCTTAACAACAGTTTTGAATGATTAGAGATAAGTAAAAATATCATTCTAGCAAGAATTAGTACGTAGCGGTTTTTGAACTGTGCATGGCACAGGATTGGAGTCAATTCCTTTCAATATGCCTACTGATGCAGCATCTCAGATTCTTCAACATTGCAGAAACCGGAGCCTTTAGCCCAGCTTTTTTCTTTCCTTCTTTTTTTCTTTACCTCCAACACCCCCACCACCACTGCCACGGCGCCCCCACCACACACACACCACCAGCCACCGCCGCCACCACCACACGGCCACCGCCACCGCCACCGCCACCGCCACCACCGCCACCGCCACGCCACCGCCACCGCCACCGCCACCGCCACCGCCACCGCCACGCCACCGCCCGACACCGCACCCACCTTGGCCACCACGGCACCGGCACCGACCGCACCGGCACCCGCACCCGACGCCACGCACCCCCGCCCGACCGCCCCCGCCACGCCGCCACCGCAGCCCCCGCCCCGCCCCGCCCGCCCCGCCGCCCCGCCGCCGCCCCGGCCGCCGCCGCCCCCGCCGCCCCGCCGCCCGCCGCCCCGCCGCCGCCGCCGCCCCCGCCGCCCCGCCCGCCGCCGCCGCCCCCGACCGCCCCCGGCCGCCACCACTGCCACCACCACTGCCACCACTGCCACCACTGCCACCACTGCCACCACACCACCACTGCCACCACACCACCACCACCACCACACTACCACCGCCACCCACCACCCACCATCCACCACATATAAATCTTGCCTGTTTGTAGCCTTTGTTCTTGTGTTCACCTCACATCCAAATAAAGAAATAGTTTTGTGTTTGTCAATCTTAAGTTGATTAAAGTTGCTGGAAAAAAATGGGTTCATGAGCTGAACATTCCCAGACATTTATTCATGTGCAGAGTAGAACATTGTGATCCCATCAGTCTCACTACATTTTCTACTCACATCTACATTATCAGTTTTAACATTTGTACAATGCCCTATGTTTTTGTTTGTTTTCATTTGCTATAAAACCAAGGAATGGCATACTTCATTGTGTAAAATAATTGCGTTTTTGTGAGGTGAAAAAAGTTTTTCAAAATATTCGGTACTTTAGAACAAATGTCAATGAAAATAATTCTTCATTATCATTGTGACTGTAGAAGCTCTTTTAACTTTTGATTGGTATGTATCTTCTTTAGTTGAATAACTTTTATCTCTTATCTTCACTTTGACAGATACTGGAAGGACTATTTTCATTATCATCAATGAATTCATTGAAGACTATAAATTGTCTCGGATTCATTTAATACTTATTAATTTATTTCTTCATACAACATTATTTCAGTAATTCTAAATGAGGTCAACTTCTAAGTCTAGGCAAGAACAAAGGTAAACATGTACTACTGAGATTTCAAAATAACTTTTTAAAATGAAATGTTAGACGTCAGCTCAACAATCTAGTTCCTAGAATATGTTTGACCTCTTATTAGCAAATAACATAAATTTACAACATCCTTTCAAGAAGCAAATAAATCAAAATGCCAGACAATAAATAATCGATCCCAGTTTTATTACAATATCACATTCTTTCTTTGTTCACTATACCTTGGAAAAAAGTATGATAATCTACTTATAACATTTCAGAAGGATAAATAAGGCTGTAAATGATAACAAAGTATTTGAAAATTTCTATAGATACTTCTCCTGTGGTGCACCTCTGTGGTCACAAAGACCCTGTTTATGTAAAGCACAACAATTGCAATTAAATCATTTATGTTTTTGTGAAAAGTGGAGATAATATGATGAAAAAACAAATAGAAAGTTAGAGAAGTAAAAGATGGATGAATACTATGATGACTGGTTCCCAAGAAAATGGCTTATTCTTTAGGAATGTGAAAGTAAAGTAGGGACTGGGCCTAATTTTGAGCCCCGTTTCTGCATCAAAAGGTTCAAATCATTGTAATCCATGATGGGAGTTGGTTTTAATTGGGGAGGAAAGATAATTTTGTGCTTTTTGAGAGTGTACTAACACAATCAATCTCACTTTGCAACATCACTAATGTAGTCTTGCTAGAAATCTGTTGTTACTAGTCAAATGGAATTCATTGTAATTCAGTGGATGAAATTCAGATCACACTTTCATTTAACCTCTTCAAAATTGCCTGAAATAAATTATAAAAGAATGTGGGAGGGAAGATAAACTTCCTATTTTAAACAAAAAACATTGAATATTAAGCATAATTGAAGAATAAACAAATGTAGCTTATTTGTAGAATTTAACATAGAAATTCTAATAACATTAAAGTTAGCTGCTTGTGGCATAGCTGTGTTTTAATCTTTGTGAATTTCTGTCTGTTTTGTGGTGTTTTTGTCAAATTTGTATCTTCTGTGTGCACTGTTTCTATTTTGTGTGATTAATAGTTAATAATTTGCATATTGTTGCTTTTTAAGATTGTTTCTATGTTTAATACATAGAGCACATTTATTTTTATACTAATACGACCATTATATTTTAGGAAAATAATGATAAAATTTAAAAATTATTCTATTATTTTATGTTATTGAAAAATTATTTTAAAAACACATACATCAATTTATTATAAAATTACATAATTTGATTGAAATGAAATTGTCATACTCTGGTGCAGCATACTTTTTGAACACGGACCAACTTCTCGCTACAAAAGAGAACATGTACTCTGTCATGGAGTACCATTATAGCATAGGCACCAAGGGTTCTCAAGGATAAAATTTTATTTGTTTAAAATTTTGGTTGCAGCCTTACGTTATGGCTATCTGAGATTTGGGGTTCATAGAGTATATATATAAATCGCAACCATAGAGAGGTCTCTAAGACTCAAAATCAAGTTCAAATTTTAAAACTTATGTTTGTATACTAATCTTGCTATTTTAAATTATTTGTATTGCAAAAATTGCTGAATATTTGCTTTTGTGCTGTGAAAGTTTGCCTATCATACAGTTGGGAAGTAAGGATTGTTCATAAAATGGTATTGCTGCTATTTATCAAAAATATTGGAAATCTGATTATGATTTCGAAAGTTGTGAACTTCCTTCACCTGTTAATTAATTATTTGGAAGTATCAATATATGGTATTGCTTCGTACAGGCACAAGTGTATTTCTAAATTGTTTTCAGATCAAGTTTTCAAACATTATTTATTTTATATTAAAATTTTATAACCTAATGTTAAATTCATCTATTTTTAAAGTACACATTCACTAATATAATTATAAAATGATCATCATGGCTGAAACAAAGTAGAGTTAATAACATTCACTCCAAATGCAGAAAATGTTGACTTCTTGAAAAAGTGTATATTTTTCATATTGCCCTTGTTTGTTTTCACATTTCAAATTTAACATATTGTTAGTCATTCTGTTTATGGAGGATTATAGGTATCAACATTAATTTAGTAAATAAGGTAATTTAGCTCTCTCTTAATGGAGTACTTTATAAGGTTACAGTAGGCAGTTGCTTCAAGGAAGTTACTTAATTAAATTTCAGTCAGCAAGTGGAGATGCTGACCAAACAAGACCTGATAGTGTTGTATCACAGTTGGATGTACCAGCTGCTAACAATGATGATCAACTTAGCATGTGCTTGTCTGTAAACAGCAGAAAGGATTCAGGAATTCGGAGTAATAGTCGACGCAGCAGTATTCAGCAACAGGTGAATGATATGTCTTCTTACTAGCTTTTGCTCATACTTTCTTTTCAATCAGTAGCATAGAATTTTCTCTTATGCCAAATGCTTTATACATTGAAACCTTGAAAACTTGAATTCCATGATATCATGAATTGTTTTCAGTCCCCTCCCCCTTCTCTTTATGCACCAACTTAATTTTCCCCTGTTAGTCAAATCCCATGAAATAAGAACCTTGTTAATTGTGAATTATCACTTTTAATTGTACATGCTATTAAATCTCTTCATATCTCTTTTTTTCCATTGGAGATTGAAAAATAGAAGAAGGCTTTGTAGGCAACATTTGTTTGAGGTTGGACTTTATTGACAGCACAATGTTACAGTTGATTGTAAAGCTCCTTTCATATTATTTCATTTTTGCATATCCAAGAAATACATTTACAATAGTACAATGTCAAATTTACCACATGTGCCGTGCAGTGCACTGTCATACCTCACTACACATTGGGCAAAGGCCTCTGTTAAAGTTACAACAATTTTGAATGCTTACTGGCCTACTTCTAATGTACGTATTGTACAACTTCGCACAGGTTTGCTCCACGTAATATTTTTGTCAATTTACCTGCCACCAATAGTTTTGTGAGCATATGCAAGAAAATGGTTTCACAGCCTTCTAAATGTCTCGACTATTCTTAAGAGTAATCTGAACCTCAGTATATCAAAGTATTTAATAACTAAAAAGTTTTTTCCCCCATAAGATTCAAGATATCAAGATTCTTCTGTATTAAATTTTCTGTTGTCTGTTTCCTAATGTTTTTTTATTTTTATGTAATGCCGCTGTGAAGAAAATGTTATTTTAAATAGCAATTTAACCTTGTGTTAACAATGTTTTTCTTTAATTTTTTTTAATTTCTTTTTTATTATTGTTTTTATTATTATTTTGTTTCTGCAAGCAAGTGATTTAAATATTAGATTACTATTAAGTGATACTATTAGAAAAAAGCAGTGTATCTGTGGTCCAATTTTTGTATACAGCTATATGATCATGTAGCTGCTAGTCTTGAAATCTTGTGTTCATTGCTTATGTTCACTTTCATTATTTTTTTATTAAATCTGTCAACTTACCTCTTCTGTGTCAATTTATGTTGTTAAATACTAATGTCCTTGATTGTGAAAAAGTGTAGAAAATGTTTTGTGAATGGCTTTGTTGGGCATATAGTTAGAATGTTAATTGTGGAATGGAAAGAGACATGAAATGAACCTTAATCTTATCTTTCATGTTAATTAGTATGTTTAATAAGTGTTATAAACAAATGGTGATTGTGGGAAAAGCATGCTTTAATGTTCATGGAACACGTGCATGGAAGCCTTAAATAAAAAATGTAGCCTATGAATGTATACTCTTGTTTATACACATGATTTTTTTGAGAAATCTAAACTAATTATTTGAATGTTTACAAAACCTCTATTTAAATAATATAAAATTAGAAATATTTCCCTTTGTAAACTAATGATTATAATATTATTAAAATATTTACAAATTATTGAAATAATACCATCTGAAAATAATTATAATAATATAATTAATATCTATTTGCATTATCAATCTTCATTTTCCCTTTCATTTGTTATTATTTGTTTACCTCTTTGATTATCATTTTTACTTCACCAAATCAATCATTTATATTCTTAATAGATTTAATGAAACATCTCCATTATTTACTCAGGAGGTAGTTTCATAATAGGCTGCAATTTAGTACTCTGGTTGAATCAATTTGGGAACCAGTCTTTTCAACTTTGTGTTGTTTTTGTGCAATGCAATATGCAACTCTTACTAAAAGTAAGGTGCAAAATGAACTTGCTCCAGGTATTACAAGAAAAATCTTTTGATTGAATTCAAGTAATATTGACATGTCATTGTATCGTAAGGAATAGCTATCTTGCTTAGGAACTTAATATAACCAGCAATTGTACTAGAAAAATATCAGTTAAAAGAAGTATGGGGATTAAGGAAATTACTTAATAATGGTTTAGATTGAATTTTATGAGAGGCATTTTCCTAATCATTCAGTTTTCTGAAGTTGAGTATGTTTCTTATAAACAGACATTTAAAATAAAAGTCCTTGGTATGCTTTTTGAAATATTCTGCAGTAAAGAAAATTTCTATAAAATTAAAGAGAGTTGAAGCAAATAGAAATCCTTTTCAGACTGAAAGTTGGAGTTGGAGGAAATCTTGTGGACACTTTACGAAAATAAAGTGTATTTCTAAAAATTCTACTGTTTAGGTCTTGGTTGATTTCGTCAAGTTCATGTAACTTCTTAAGCCTGAGACTGATGAAATCCTTTTCCAAAGTATTTTACACTAATTGTTCCTGTGCCAATAATTTTGACACTGTACCACAAACCAATTTCAATATAATTCCAACCTTATTAAAATCACAAATTTCCTTCTGTTTCTAAGAATTGTTCAATCACTTTGAGAATGAAAAGAGAATGGTTGCATAGTTCATGGCAGAGACAGTAGAATTTGCTTGCTACAACTCTTTGTGTGGAAAGGTTTGCCACTTTGATTTGTAAGCAACCAGTATTCTTGTTACACATCTATATTTGTAAATAAGTTTTATAGGACAATCAAATGGTAAGAACTTACGAAAATGGAGGAAATATGGAATTCTCAGCTTTTCTATGACTCTTTAATCATACTAATTCATCTAGCAGTTATCCAGAGCATAGATTTGCAATTTGTAGTGTTTTTTAACAGAAATTGTGCCATTAAAATAGAGTCCTCGCACACCAAGTTAATCAAAGAGACCACATATAACTTAGCTGTAGAATCAAAGATTTTTTTTTCCCTAAAGAGAATTTCCCAGAGGGGTTGATGAAGTGTGATGTTGCTCTTACCCCCCACTCCCTACCCAGGCACTGACATTCAGAATGCTAGCCTTGCAGACCATGAGAGAGAGATTTAGATGATAAATTATGAGATTATTATAATTTAAATGATGTATGAGATTATTATTATTATTATTATTATTATTATTATTATTATTATTATTATTATTATTAAGTATTAAGTATTATTATTGTTTAATTAACTGTCAGCACTCAATTTTTCTTTTACTTAAGTTTAAAGAGTATACACCTTCTGCATCACAGAAGCAACAAATCATTTGAGTGAAAAAAGTTCATGACCTATTGTGAAATATTGCTTAGTGTGCTATTAACCAAATTGTTTCATGTTAAATGGATTTGAACAGTAAAGAATACTTCATTCAACAGATCAAAAATGTAAAATCACCAATAAATTTCCTGGCATGTCATCATTGCTACATAAAAAGTTGTTACTACATCAACTACTTTTTATTGTATTATGAGATGACATATAGCTATGGCATAGGAAATTTGGATCCTTTTAAAAATCTTTCAACATAAAAGGATTTTAAAACTGTAATGTTGTGTATCTTTTTAGCTCTTATTCCATTAATGGAAAATTATATATTGAATGAGAAAGTAGTATTGTAATATCTAAATTTTTAGAGTGAACCAGATGTCTCCAACAATGTTGGCATTTGCTATTTAACAAATAAAACCACCTGTAATGATTTTTCAGATTTTGTAAATAGAAACTACTAATGTTATAAATATAATGTGGCCTAAGGTTATGCAACCAGTAAATTCTAAAACGTATTATTCCTACATAGTTGTTGTGCCCATTATAAAAATACTGATTTTTTTTCAATAAAGTAAGAAACTAATATAGCTAAAACATTTATTCTAGTTTTTGTTGTTAATGTTGATCCATTTAATATTTCCTGGACATAACAATAAATCCATGCATTTCTTCAAAATTAATTCCTAAAACCAATGGGAATGATGTAATGGATTTCACCAATATGCAAGTAAGATTTTACCTTCATTTTTCAAAAAAACTTCCGGTGACCTGTATGAAACTTTCACATGCATGTAGATACAGTGAACTCTGAATGTAGTGAACTTTTTGTTATAGTGAATTGAAGTCGATAGTACTTGCAGGCATAATAAATAGAACTTCCAGGGGGGGGGATTGTCTCAGTACTCCAAATTTAGAATTCAAAGATTTTCAGGTAATGGTTCTCATGAGTTATTTTTATAACATTAATGATAAATGAAAATGACTGTAGGAACTGTGCCACCGAAGGAAAAGCTTCAGCTTACCGACGGTGGCTCTGTGAAGCCAGAAGACACGTTAAAAAAAATTTGAAATTTTTTCTAGCTAGGACATTGTGAATACAATGAAAGGGTCTTTTTAGACTAGAAGAAAACAAGTGTGATAAGTAAGATACAAAAATTAAGAAAGCACTCCAGTGTAAGAGAAATTATGGGAGTTCAGATCGCACTAAGATATTTAAGGAGTGTGGACAATGCAGAATAGAGTATGAAGATTGCATAATGATATTGAAATTTTCAATTTGTTGTGATTGGATTATGGTATATAGTGTTAGTTTCCAGAGATTTACTATAACTGCAGTCGATTGTAATCATTTTTTATATTCATTAAGTTGTTTTTTCTATCTATTTTAACTTGTGTCTTTCTATTCTAAATTGTATTAATCTATTTTAACTTGTATCAATAGTCCATCTTTGAATGTTGTGTGATATTTGTATTATTTGTTAATATTTCTGTTGTTGATATGACTATAAACTACTAATTAAAAAGTTGGCCCTTAAATATTAGCAATTGTATATCATATAATATTTTCAGTACATTCGTAACTAAACCTGTAGCTCAGTAAAATAATTTTTATTCATAACAGTATAATTGTTTAATTTTAACATTGAGTGCCATTAGATTTGTAAAATAAACAGTATTATGTTTGTGTGTTGGAACTGTGAATAACCACTTCTCAAAAGGATCAATTTTTAAATATATTTAAAAATCAGGTCAGTGGCTTTAAGTCCCTGCTAAGAGATCATCTCTCATGGTAACAATCAAATAGAGAAAGCAACCAGAATTTGAATATTATGTGTAAACATTGCAAAATTTGCAGTTACATTGTGGATTTTCCAATCATCTTGGAACTCAACACGCTAAATGAAGATTGTCTACTATTGTCTTTGTTGGTTTTCTCTGACATTGGGTCTCACTGAATCCATCAGATTTCTCCAGTGTTGAATACCTTGGGATTTTCAGGATAGTTGGGATATATTTCTGCATGACTTCCTTTATTTGAAGGTTACTTACAAATTGATTTACAAAATTATTATCATTAAAAAAAAATAATAATAAAAAAAAGGAAGTTGTATACAGAATGTCTTCTAAATTGTAAATGCTTTATATTAACATTGATACCCTAGAACAGAAATGGTAAGTAGGAATTCTTGCAGATGTTTAAAGTCTCTTTTTTATTTATTTACGCTGACTTTATACAATTAAGAAAATGCAATAGATACATGGTTATAAATTATACATCAAGTAGAAATACAAATATAAATACAAAACAATATATCATTCAGCAAATACAACATGTTTTATTTTCGACAGAAATGTAGATGTAGAATCTACAAGAAAATCAATATTGGTTCAATATTTGCTTACTATTCTGTTCTTCAGACCATCTTGTGCACATAACTTTTTGATGATTTCACCGAATTTAATAGTCTGCATGATCTCAAACCAGGTCTTGGGCAAATAAATTCGAATTGTTCCAATATTTCAGATCAATCTGTCCATTAATGGAAAAATATAAGATTCATAACTACTCTCCGATCTGAAAGATTGTCTATTTTAAGTTGGTTGTATGAGTCTGTGATATCAATATTATGTTTCCTAATGCCAGTATAATACCTGACAATATTGCAGAATTTCTTCTGTATTTTTTCAACTTGGTCAGTAAGAAGATTAGTATATGGTGACCATATAACTGAGCAGTATTCCAGTATTGGGCAAACCAGGATTGTATATAAATGATTAAGCATGTGAACATCATTGAATTCTCTTCCTGATCTGAGTATAAATCTGAGAGTCCTAAATGCCTTAGATGACAAAATTTATTTGTTGTCAATAATGACATCCTTGTCTTTTACAGATATAATTTCCTCCAGTTTCTGTCCATTAACGTGGTATACCATAGGTCGTCAATGGAGTGAGCGGGAGAAAGACATTACCGCACACTTACTCACATTCAATTTCAACCTATTTTCAATGCACCGTTTGCTCAGTTCGGTAATGTCTTGTGGAAGAGTATAGATGTCATTTTCATTATTTATATTTCTAAATATTTTCAAATCATCAGCAAGTAACAAATATTTTGATTTGATTTTGTCTCCGATATCATGAATAGAAATGTTAAAAGGTTTGGCCCTAGATGTGATCGTTGTGGAACACTGGAGGTTACTTCATATTCAGTAGAGATGTGACCCTTTACCCAGACCTGTAGATATCTCTCTGTCAAGTATGAGCGAAACCAGTCCAGTGCTGTCTTGTATACAGTATCAACACAATTTATTGCATAATATATCATGATCTACCATGTCAAAAGCTTTGCTGAATTCCATATAGACTATGTGTATATCTCTTTCCTGATTCATACCATCAAGCACATCATTTACATACAGGTAGAGGTTGGTAGTGGTAGATTGCCTGAAATAGAAAAAAAAAAGAAAGAAAGAAAAACCAATAAAACATGTTGTTTTGTCGATATAATATTTTTGAAGAGAAATGGTACCTGTTGTAAAATAAGTTTTTCAAATAATTTGGATATGGAACATTGAATGCAAATCAGTCTGTAGTTGGTCACGGACCTGGATCTGGATCCTGATTTGTATATTAGTGTAATATATGAAAATTTCCAACTGTGTTGGGAATAAGCCTGATTCTTATGTGTTCAGCAAGTCCAGCAGCACAGTTCTTAAGTAACAGGTTGGGTATCCCATCAGGTCCAGCTCCTTTTTTAACATCTAGTTTACATAGTTGCTCAAACACATCATCATAACAGACATTCTGTTCGGACAGATTGATGTCCTGTTTGGCAAATATATCTTCATTCCAAATCACTGATGTAGATGTCGTATCATCAGACCTGCTTGCATAACTGCTTTCAAAAAATGATGAATAAAGGTTACACACTTCACTCCCAATTTTAGCCATAACATCATTCCATGATAGTTTATGGGATGTCTTGAACGTTTCATCTCTTATTTTCAATAAAATTCCAAAATTGTTTGGAACTTGTCTTTATCTTTTCCTCAGTTCTTGATATATAATTTTTGCAACATTTTTCACCAATTTTTTTATATTCCAGTCTCAGGTCTCGGAAATAATTATAAGCATAACGTGTTGTTGTTTGTTTATCTTTTGTATGTGCCTTTTTTAGCTTTATTTTGTTTATTAATTCTCTGGTGAACCAGCAAGGATAACTTTTCATATTATTAGTGTAAATTTGAACAAATATACACTAAAAAATATTATAATTGTTAATTTGATTTTAAAAATCAACCATGGAGCTCTTTTGTGTTGTTCCTATTAACAAATATATTTTTCTAATTCCTCGATGGTCATTTAATTGGCGTTTCACTCTCTTTAATTGTTGGGAATGTGGTTGGCTAAATTTAGTAAAAAGGCCTTAAAACGTGTTACTTGTTTCAGAGTTGCATGTTATATATCCATGTAATTCAGGTGGAACTGGTGTTTTCAGATATTTGTTATGAATGGAATGGCTCATGGTGAACTCTTTACTCATCGAGTTAGTGGTTATTATACAAGCAGTCAGTCTTCTCTTAATGAAGCCGATTTAGGTATGTATTTTTTAATAACATGCTTTGTGATACAAGTAGGTAAGTCTCTTTCGAACATTTCACAATTATTTTTTCTAAAAATGTGTAATTGGTTGGTTGAAATATGCATGTCAAAATAAAGTATGATCTCAAGAATTGTTAGGTGTCAAGTTAATGGTGTAAAGTAAAATGTATGATGTAAGGGTATCGAATATAAACTTCCTTCTACTTGTTACAAGATTCTCGTGGAAGAATTATCTTTTGAGTTTATACAACATTTGGGAAAAGTTTAATGTTGTGTGGGAGAGGGGGGGAGAGATTCATCTTCAGAATGTTCTCACAAAAAAATCTCTTTTGTCCTCTACACTAAGCAACACTGAAACATATTCGATGCTGGAATACTCTTAATACAGTTGATAAATATACTCATTTATTTTAATGTTAAATATCCCATCATTGTATTATGTTATATTAGAAGTCAACATAATGCCTTTACTATTCTTATGTGCTCCTAACAAAGTCCTAGCACTTTTGAAACTCTTTATATCTAGTCTCTCATAATCTGAAAAATTTCCCTGAGACCTAATTGAAGTTAGGTTATATTTTTTTTTTTAAATGGCTTGTTTATATGCATTTAGAATGTGTTGTGTATCATTCTTTTGTCATGGTTTGTTGATCATATTTATTACGTTTAATATAACCTTGATTGTTGCTACCAGTAATTTATGATCTGATCCACAGACCTCATTTGATTGTAAGATGAAGTCTGTAAAGAGTCTTCCATCTGTGGGTTTCCAATCAATTTTATTACTGTATCAGCCATCTAGAAATATAAGTAAAAATACTGTTCATTTTTCTTAAACATTGTATGTGCTGTGACCAAATTGTTTTCTGCACAAAATTCATCCCATATTATTTCTTCTACCATATCCAAATTTCCTGTTTTATATTTTATTTTCTCTTGCCCTCTTGTATTTTCCCTTCGTATTTTAGCATTCTAATTACCTACAATGAGAATAAAATCATTTTTCACTATTTTTCTTCCAACTCTTGTAGTTGGACATTAAATTCTTCTATTTCAGCGTCATGAGATTCAGATATAGGTGCATATATTTGAATAATCAAGATATTAATTGCAGTTAATCTTAAGCTTATTATCCTGTCATTGTTTCCTTAATTCTCTAGAAGTACGCTCTTATCATGCAGTAATTAAGTAAAGATATATCCAATGCCAATTAATCAGTATTCAAATTTTGTATTACTCATCTCTTTGTGAACAGATGCTTCATTAATTTTTTCTTCTACTTTGTTCACAATGTAATGCAAAATTCTCTTCTCAATGAATTATATATTAACATTGATAATAATGACACTGCGTTGCTACTTTTTTTAATGTTTCATTGTAAACGAAGTGCATCTTATGAAAGGAAATTATCAATGATGTAAGTCCAGAAGTTTTCTCTCTTGTATTCACGTAATTAAACATTTGTCTCCTTTGATGATACAGTAAAATCTGTTTAAACCGGAACCTGTTCAAGCCAAAACCCTGCCTAAAAAAATGTCTCCGGCCTGTGATGTTAAATGGCTTTTTACATAGCATAAAATGGAACCTGTCCAACACAGAAAAGTTTTTTCAGTTTCTGCAGGAAAAAAAAACTTAATAAAATAAAATTCCTGTGAATTTAATACAATTGGCAGAGAGACACTATTCTTAATGGAATTAACACATCTACTTTGAATTCTTTGTGCCTGTGACATTCAATTTAGTTGTGGCTGCCGCACAGTGTATGAGAGTGACTTGAGCTAGAAGTTGACCACAAGGGGTGTCACTTGTCTCCCAAAGCATGGGGTAATTCCCTCTCTCATGGCTCATGGCTGAGCATGGGAAGAAGTGTGGGTGTGGCTTCTGTTCATGCATCTCCCTGCCCTGCATTGAGAATCGTAACCCCTTGGCCAGAGATGTACTGCAGAAAGACATAGTTCTCTATGAATGTAATTGAATTGTCGAACTCTTCTGCAGCTCTGGAAGCAATTCAGTTGGTAGACCAAGCAGGAAAAGCTGAAGCTCTAACCATTTGAAAATGTTCCAGGAAGGCAGGTTTTCCATCTCTTGGTGGGGATGAGTTGCCAGCTGTGAATGACACTAAGCCCAATTATGGGAGAGAGTGCTGAAGAAGTTATCTATATCAATAAATATGTATTTACAAATGGAGACATTGAAATTGAAAGTGACAATGCATATAAGTGAATCAGATTTTGGAGAAGATAACAAATCTCTCTGCACATACTTATTCTAAAGCCCTGCAATGTGTTCTAATGTTAAAAAAAGTTTGCACTCATTCTAATAGTAATCTTGAACTATTAGATTTTTTGAACTTCAGAAAACAATTGAAAAGATGGTAGCAAGAGGGAAAATGAAAAAAACTGTAGATGAATGTTAAAAAAATAAAATTTAATGCATAAATTGGGAGGTTTTATCTTCTAATTTTCAAAAATATGTTCAATATTAATTTTTTGGAGTTTTCTTGCATAAATATATTATACGTTAATGTAATTTAATAATTATAATAGTCATGTAATTTTCTAGTTTCAGGTTGGAAATATCAATATCACAAGTGTCATAAAGTGGACAACCTTTCATAAAACGGAAACCTCCCTAAGCAGAATTTTTTTTAATTCTGATCGATTCCGGCTTAGACAGATTTTACTGTATATCAGACTTCATGGTCGATGTTGTGTCCTTCAATGGGCTTTGACTTTTTAAAATTTCTGCCATATATCACTATTTGGGAGTATTTATTTGTGTTTAAGAACTCCTAAGAGATGCTTGTTTTATTAATACAATTATTCTATATGATTTTATTTTCATGTATTTCTTTTTTTTTTTTTGTTCTTTCTGTTTTATTCAGATACTGATGGTCGAAGACGTCAACTACCTCCACAATTAGAAGGAAATTTGGGGGCTTGTTTTCATAAACTGAGGAAGCAGTCTGATTTACAGTTGATTCGATGTGTACAAGACAACGTTACATCTCGGCGAAGTTACTTTGTTAAACCACCTCTGTCGAGCGTTTCTCTTTTTTTTCGACAGAGCGAAATGGAGAAAGAATACAGAGCCCATGCACATCTCATCACAGAAAAACCTGGTGATTCTCCTCCAACACTAGCAACATCACGATACAATACATATTTTGACATTCTCATTTCAGCAATAGTTTATTCTGTTATTTCTGTTTCTCTTTACATCTTATATGAACCATCAGTACAATGGATAACAGTAAGTTGTGTAGCAACATGTATTCAAATATTTGCAGCTGCATTGTGTATTCGTCAGCTTTTAGGTTCCAAATACAGCACATGGACTGGCAAGGATATATCTCGAAGGTTATTTGAAACTTTTTCAGGTTGGTATCCATGGCATGTTGTCGGTGCAATATTGGTGAGTCTACCAGTGATTTCTGTGCTTGTGAACTTCTCGGGTAATTTAATACTATCCACTTCTAATGCAGATTTTTACTATTGTTACTTACTGTTTGTAACTCTTGTACATTTTTGTAATTTTACACAATTAAATTGCTGGATGAAAAGCGTTTTAGCCACTTTGGCTGGAATTTTATATATATCTTTAGCAACTAGTCATGCTTATGCCTTTCTGAATGATAGAGTTATATCGCTGGGGGAAAATGCAAGCAACTTCAATGCAGCAAACAAGAGTGATCATTTCTTGGACATTAATTCTTTCAATGTGTCACACACAAATACAAATTTATCAGTTCCTCTGCATGATCAAGAAATTGATTGTTCTAATAAAGAGGGAAATTCTGGTATAGATCATTCTTATTGTTCTCATTATTATCAAGCAGAGATTTTCCTTGATATATTGATGCTTCTTGTTTTGGTGTGGTTCCTAAATAGAGAATTTGAAATAAGCTATAGGTTAAGTTTTCATGGTAATATTGTTGCCGCAAGGGACAAAGCAAAAGTTCAAACTATGAAGAATCAGGCTGATTTGTTATTGCATAACATAATTCCAAAGCATGTTGCTGATCAATTAAAGAACACAGCGAAATATTCTGAAAATCATCATGATGTTGGTATTATATTTGCCAGTATTGTCAATTTTAATGAAATGTATGACGAATCTTATCTTGGGGGGAAAGAGTATCTTAGAGTTTTAAATGAATTAATTGGAGATTTTGATGAACTACTTAACAAACCAGAATTTCGTAATGTAGAGAAAATAAAAACTATTGGAAGTACTTTTATGGCAGCATCTGGCCTAAATCCTAACCTAAGGCAGCAAAATAAAAATCCACATCAGCACCTCTTTGAATTAATGGATTTTGCAATTGAGATGCAGAATGTTGTTGACAATTTTAATAACTATTTATTCGAATTCAATCTTGTTTTACGCATTGGATATAATTTTGGAGATGTTACTGCAGGTGTAATCGGTACAAAGAAGCTCTATTATGACATATGGGGAGATGCAGTAAATATTGCTAGTCGAATGGATTCTACTGGTGTTAGAGGTCGCATTCAAGTAGGTTGTGAGTGTGTTGATGTTCTATCAGAACATTACGAGTTTGAACCTCGAGGTTCTGTGTATGTAAAAGGGAAAGATCATATGACTGTATTTTTATTGAAAGGGAAAAGAGGTGATGTCAATATTGATGATGGCTGAAAGAACAATTTATAAAGTAAAAATTTTGTGATATCATGGATGTATATATCAAAATATATTCAGAAAGGAGCAACATCTCCTAAGAGATGGAAAATATGCAGTATTTAAGGTCACTCCTACATTTTTTGGTATTACACAATGAGACTGTCTTATGTCATGTGAAATCTATCAGTTCTGATGGGTGGTTTAAAATTTTCTTCAAAACAAATAATTTTAATTTACATTTTAATAGTATACTTCTTGCCATGTGTATTTAATACAAAGATGATGTTAAAAACATCTTTATAGAGTTATAAGAGTAAATTATTTTCAAGAAGGAAGTGTACAGTGTTTACAAAACAGCTGATCTGAAATAAACATGTTGCTTTGCAGTATCCATTCTCTTAATTCAAATACAATATGCATGAGTAAGATAGAGCAAAACTTATTCAGGTTTATAATTCCTATATTTATTTATTATTTCTCTGCAATAGTACAATTATCTTCTTTGTGAAAATATATAAATAATGTATGTATTTATGCATTTTAATACAATTATTTATGTATATGTACACACAACTAAAAACCCACATGCATATATATTGTGACTTTTTATTTATTTACGAGAAAAGTTATGTGCATAAAATACGTACTGAGAACGAAGAGCTGGAACATTTTATTGAATCAATGGTGCCTTTGTTTGTTTTATTTTATTATATACAAACATATATATCTTGTAATAAGATGCCTTTCATAATTGTACACTTTATTGCCAGTCAACGAATTGCAGAATATTATTATCTTTAAATCATTTAATATTCATGTACTCAGTGAAATTTGAGAAAGCTTTCATAATTTACATTTATTTTTAATGTTTTGAATAGTAGTGTAAGGTATTAATGTTCATTGAATTTGTATGGAAAATGTAAGGTCCGGTGTTTCTGGTAAAACAGAACAGTATAAATGTGTATGTAGATGTACAATAAGAAATGTAAATAACATTTGTATATAAGGACATAAAATGTTTGAATGTGAGTTCAATGGTGAAGAATGTGTCAACATTTGTTAGTAGTTACCAAGTAGCAAATAGTTGTCCACTGACAATTGCATTTTACTTACCTACTTTAACGATTTTATGTATTAACTGATAATTTTCAACAGTATTGTTTATATTAAATAATATAAATATTGACTTTGATTTTGATGCATTACTGTTAAAGAAATATGTTTTGATAAAATAATTGAATGAATTACAGATGTATCTTACTACTTTTCTGTCAATCAAAGTGAGGAGATCTATTTGTCGTGATGAAAGTGTATTTTTATTTCAGTTGTTTTGAAAAATGTATTTTATTGCTCCAAACTTATGTTTGAAGTGAATGAGGTACTGAGTGATGATATGTGATAATATGAATAATATATTATGTATTTGTGAAATTATGTTTCCAGAATAAATGTCAGGCTAAGTGAATTTGAATCAGGAGCTTGTATTATAACTTTATACACAAGATGACTTATACAATTATCTTGATATTTTTTTATCATAATGCCTTATTTCAGTTGCAGATAGTTACCAGAAAACAATAGCCACATATAGTCTCCATTTTTAATGGAAACATATTTGTGAAAGACTTACTGTATGCCTTATTAGTACTCATACAAGGCTTTGTAGTGCATAAGTTCCTATAGATGTAACGGTTACTGCTTAAGCAATTTAGAAAAGCTGCCTAAGTTTTTTATTGGTATCAATATATGTTGCTGTCACATGTACATGCTAAATATTTGGCTTCAAGGCTGATCCATTCATTCATAGTACTGAATTTACATAGCTGTGTTATATTTTGAAATTGCATATTGTGTACAAATGATGTTCATGTTGTGTTAAATAAATCTAAGTGATACAACAATTCTTGAGAGTTTGAAAATGTGTTGTTAAACCATGAAACAATATAATTGAAGTCTGGATTATTAGGTGCTGCAAAAGTTAGCAACTGTGCTATAACAATATCTCAGAGCACCTTGAATATGCAGAGATGATTTGTTCGTGTGGATTCAGAAGCTGATCACTTCTTCACATCAGTTTTCATACTGCAATTAGTAATATATGCTTTGGTTCCTGCATATAGACATGAGTGTACATGGACATGGGTGGTCTTCTTTGTCCACACTTTGGTTCCCTGCCTTTCATTTACTCAACTCCGATCTTCTCTGACAATTATCTTTCCACAATAACCTTTGAAAATAAGGAAATAATTCTGTATCAGTACTTCAAGTGAGCAAAATTATATGAGCAGTGAGTGTCAATTGAAATTTTTTGTTTAAAAATTGACAAAAGAAATAAAATTTCAGAAATTTTTGCATGCTCTAAAAACACATGACATTTCAGGTTATTAAAAAAATGTATGATCTATTTATTCCTTTAAATGGAATTGTAGAATTTATTTGTCCATGTCTGAATGAACCTCTTGATTATATGCACAATTGGCTTGAAACATTTTCAAAAATACAAATACAAACAGATGTCAAAAGCAAAACCCATGTGTAATTATATGATCTTGGAATTGAATATTGATGTCTTGCCTCTTGGCTTATTAATTATGTACTAATGAAAAATTCAAGTGAATAAAAATATGAAATCAGATTCCATGTGTCTTTATTGGGAAATGTTCAGTATTTAAGAAATTCATTTGAAGTATAAAAATAGTGGGTATGGTTTATAAAGGAATACGAAAGTAGCATAGACACTCACAGTTTTCTCAGAGTAAACACTTTCCTGAATGAGATAGGATTGCTGCAGCTGGAAAGGGACAAGTTTCAATTTTGTGTCTAGGTTATATTAAATTCAACATAAATACGTTTTTATACAATACTGCATTGCCCAAGTGTTTATTTTTTATAATTGTCCATTAGTCAGAACGAGGAATGAATTCTATCTCGCCTGCTTTGCTTTGCACCGTCTTACCCAAACTCATCCTGCTCTGCCCTACCTGCCCAGCTCCATCCTGTCCTCCCTGCCTCCTGCCCCCCCTGCTTCAACCGACTCTTCCCCACTCATCCTACCCTGCCATGTTTGCTTTGATCGCCATTGCTATGGGCAGCTGTAAACATATATGTTCAGTGGCATAAGATCAAGATAGGAGGGCCTCTAAAGATATGTCATTAATTTAACTTTGTAATTAAAAACTGAATTCTAGGAGTGAAAACCTTTATTAAAGAAAAAAAAATTATTACATTACATTAAAATAAAAACTTTTTTGCAATTTCATGATATAATTTCAAATTTGAATTATGTTTTTTTCTTCACATTTACAAATTCATCAATGACAGTAGAAATATTATTTTTCAATCACATCGTTTTTCATGCCCAATTGATAAAATATTTAAATTACTCAGACTGTCTAGGGCCATTGTACTTCGTAAATAATTTTTAATCAACCTTAATTTTGAAAATGTTAATTCACAAAATTTCATCATCCAAAAAGGCTACCAAAACTTGTGTCTGAATCACTCTGAAAATTTCCGTTTTATTTTTCAATCCAACAAATAGTTGCTCCAATTGGTTATTGAAAGTAATTAAGCATCCATAGTAAACATTAAGTGTGTATGTTCTTTCACCATCAGTGAGTTGTTGATGCTTGTAAAGTCAGTCAAAAGGTTTCTTTTCCTTCACTTGTTTATCGCTAAATTTCACTTTTACTTTCCAAACTTTGGAAAATTCTATTGCATCATTTTAAATTGTGTGCCGTTTCAAATCCAAATTAGGGCTTTGAAGGTATCTCGAAACAGTGTTAGTTGATGTTAGTATTTTGAAATGCTGTACTTCATGGGAGGCCAAATCAAAATTTTCGATTTCTTTATTAAAGTTACGTGTTTCACTCTCTTCAGACAAGGTTAGAAAATGTATTTTTTGTTAAAGCTTGCAAAATATTAAAACATCCAAATCTTATAGCTATAAAGGAATCGTTCTGTAATGACTATCTTGTAGGACAAAAGTGTTTTAATTTAAGATTATTTCACTTTTAATGTGAACCCATTATGGTTGATGAAATATTCCACTGATTAATGCAAACCAAAGAAAACATGAATGTGTTCCAGTAAACAGTAAAGAGTCTGAAATAATATTCCATTCAAGGCATCATTAAGCACAACTATTAATACTGGAATTTACTTTTATTAATGGGACCCCAGACCCACGGGGCCCCTATTCATGTTCCTTCTGTCAGTTCCTGTGGAACTTACACCACTGGATATGTTGCTTATGCCCAGTAAACTTCCAGTAACAATTTTAATCTTTTATTACTGGAAGTCTAAGGGCACTATTGAAATGAATTGAAAGGCACTTAGTAGTAGTAGGATTAGGAGTAGTAGTAGTAGTAGTAGTAGTTAGTTTGTTTTTTTGCTTCCTTATTACCTTATTTATTTATTCTTTACAGGTGAATGCACACACACACACACACACACACACTAATAAATGCATTACTCAACAGCTTTAATTTCACTTCATTTACAAATGTTTTCAGTTCTACTAATAAAACCTTTTATGTAATTTTATAATATTGCAGATTCTTATTAATACATTGTTTCACATGTGAAAGCTGGTATACTAAAGTACTTGTATTGCCTTGCTCATGTAGATGTCACTCAAAAACGTAATTCATTCAGTAAAAGAGGACATGAAATTCCACCTTCAAAAAGTTTAAAGATAAATTTTGCTTCATTCAAGCCTTTCACAGATGTTGAAGACACAATATTTATGAGTGTTGATATTAGAATGTGAGCGTGATTGAATTATGGATCAGGGTGAACATCATTTAGTGCTAAGATTCTAAAAAAATTATGCTGCATCTATTCCAGGCATCTATTAAGAATATAATGAAAGGGATACCAAACAACAGCAAATATCTAACAAGTTGTATACACATAGCGCTGAGCACTTTATTTGATTTCAGATCATGACCTGTTCTCATAAATTCCAACTGTTGAGAAGCCTTACTAATAACACCGGTCAGCGTCATTTTTATGTCTTTTTGTCTCGGTTCTTGAAAAGGTAAGGTGTTATAACGTGAATTGTTGACTCAGCTATTTAAATTGGCGCCCTTTGCATATGAACAGCCCATGGAACGACCTGACTCAACTTCTTTAGAATGCCACCAGAGTTCCTCAGCATTAATTGCGCAGACTTGACAGAGGGAGATGTCAGTGTAATGAATCTTGCTAGTGTATTTTGGAGTGTTTTGTTCCATTGAGAATGTGAACGATTGCCAAGTGTATTTCTTTGCTTGAATTCATCAGTTTTGGTGTGCTTTTGTTACATCTCACAGATTCAGGTAATTTGACTTGCTTGTTATAGTGTAGTTGATGTTACTAAATTAATAGGAAAATGCCCGTTTAGCTTCGTTTTGGATACTTGAGAATTTTTTAAAACAGGAACCTTTAGTCTTTTATATTAAAGTTCTGAAGAATTAGTAAACGAAAACGTTGCGTGTATTTTGGTCGTGTATACGCTATCGATTAAGTGACCCTGTTTTGCGTGGGAATACCACCGCGTATGTTTACTTCCGAGAGGCGCTGAATTTGATTTTAGATTTAGATTTATTCAGTCAAAAAACAGTAAAAACTGTATGTTACGTAAGGGGGAAAAGTTTATCTGCGCACGTTTTCTTGAGTTCCAGAATACCTTCCCGTCAATTTAACTATAAATAGTTGAAAGAAGAGTAAAAGTTTAACATAAATAAAAATAAATTTTAAAAATCGCAAGATTAGCAATATTTGAAAAATAGTAATTTTTGTTTCTGAGTTATAGAAAACTTATTTACATCGGTACACGAACTGCAAGTTTAATTTTTCTGCATTGATTAATTATTTCTCTTACTATCAATGTTGTTTCTTCTTGCTATCGATTTTTCATTAACAAAATGAAATCAGGTATCTTGAAATTTATTTGCAAAAACCTAAGACTTACATTTTTGTAATAAGTTGTTTGAAATAAAGTTAAAACTATATAATTAAGGTGACTTTAAAGAACATTAAAAAACGAAAAGAAGTTCTTCATTTTCAAAATGATTTAAAGAATGTTGTGACTTGAATGTTGTAGTGTCATACATTGCGTATTTTCTATATAGGGTTAATTAGTTCCACATTGTTTTGATTTATTATGCTAATGCCTAATGCTTTAAACGAAGTGCTTAAGAAGACTACCAGCTACATTTGTTTATATGTAATGATTATTTCTAGTGTGCACTATGTAATTGTATCCCTATAAAAAAATTGGTGGTAATTACTTCATAATTGCAGTAACTTTCCTCTAAACTAGCGATTCACAAACTGTTTTCTGCGGAACCCTAGCTTTTACTTTCTCGTTTCCGCTTTCGCAATAAAGAGAAAGTTAACAATAACAATATTTATTGAGTCACATATACAATCGTAATGCTGCGCGAAATTCTTAGCCCTGGTGAGGAAAAAGTGAAATTCTTTGAGGCATTACTCAAAATATCGATTCCGATTTTGAACGGGTTTTAAAAAAATTGAACTAATTCTGTAAATATCACCATTATTTCATAACCTCACATCTTATTTTAGATATATTTTACTTCTAAGGCCTTCCGTTATCATTCCACCTTACTCTAAAGATCTTCCGTTGTCACATATCGGAAAAAATTAGCGGAGTATACGCACGAGCTCTTTTATCCTACAACTCGATTTTTGATCTCACAACTACGTTTATCTGCTTTAAAGAGTTCATCTGGTGAATCTCTAAATACTATACAATATAATAACAAATACGTTTATTATTTACAAAAATATACCCCCACCTCCCGAAAAATAATCGGCTGGATTATCCTGCTGTGACACCTCTCCTAACTTCCGTAAGCGGAAGGCGATAACACAGACCCTCGTATGTCCTCGGAAGCGACCGCAGAACCAGCTGACCTGACGTCTCCCACGGCACCGCTTCAGGGAGAGGCGAAGCGATGAGGGGGAGACTTGAATTTTCATGACGCGAGCTGCAATTACTGGTAACATTGGGGAAAGTTTTATCTCGTAAACTAAATTATAATTTTGAATTTCTTGGTACTTTTTATGTATGTAGCCGCAGTTATCTACAGTGTAATTTTTGTTTATTATTATTATTATTATTATTATTATTATTATTATTATTATTATTATTATTATTAATATTTATTCAAAAGCACCGAAATCAATGGTAGACCTGTGAGATCGAAGGCGCTAGGACACATGCAATACTGTCACAATCTCTGTTGTACAGACTAACAGGCAGACTCAAGAGAGAGAACACAAAGCTCTGGTGACTGACCAACGAAATTCTAAAAAATTGTGCATCTTGTATTTGTAACATGAAAAAAGTAAATTATGAAAAATGAGTACATTTGTTGTCTCTGCGACTTATTGCACTGAAGAGTTGTGCAGTTTTCGAATTCTGTTTTTGATGGATCACTTACCGTCTCTTTATTTTCCATTTTTCAAGTCATGAGATTAGCAGGCAACAATCTCATTTTCCTCTTTCGAGATGGCGGCGGAGATTTTTTTGCTGGTGGTGTTGTAAGCGATTCTGATGCAGAAGCAACGTTGGAATTCTGATTTTCGCAGTTATTATTGGAGGATCTAAAATACTATTGAAAA